AACCCACAAAGAGAACAAATAATTATTCTACAATACCATATGCACATTGGAATTTAGAATCTTCACTCAGACTAGGAGATTTATTTGTTTACAGAGCCATTTTGATGGCATTAGCATGTGTAAAAGAAATTGAATGATTGTAAATAGTCTTTCTAAAATTGAATGTGTTTCTATGCAAGAATATAGGAAAATAAGCCAGCACAAAAAAAAAAAAAAAAAAAAAATTGTAATTCATTTCATCACAGCAACATCTGATAGAATTATTAAAATCTGTAGTTCATTTACTAAATAAATCATTTGAGAACAGTACACCTGTGAAACAAGGGTACGCTATAATAACCAACCAGTCAACAGAAAAGACCAGCAATTGTCCATAATAGTTCCATAATGACAACTACGATAATTTAGGACCATGGGTTTATCACCGCATACCTGAGGTGCAAAGCAATGTAATGCTTGCTTCTTGCCCGCATTCGATGGACCAATTTTTCACCCATTTTCTCTATTGAGTCTGTGAATTTCAAGGCATGGTAGTTAACTCTGCATCTCAGTTTCTGTAAATCTGTCTCCAACTTGTTTGCTAGTCTATAATCGAACTTGGAGAGCTGAATAGCCTGACACATTCTGAATACTTCTGAGTATATAATTACAAATTAATATAAACATGACACATAGCAAAAGCACAAGAATGAGAAGTTACAGACTCGCTGTAAAAAATTTCTAAGAAAAGCATGCAATCGAAACATGTATAAGAAATCAATGCTTGCGTTGATAATTGAAAACCGAACAATAACAAAAGTTGCATGTCCATATGGTCAAATGGGTTGTAGAGAACGGAGAACTTACATGCCTTTTCAAAAGAACAGGTAAGACACGGTTCTGATAACATCTTTCACTACATTTCCTGGGGACACGCATTGAGTGAGCATTCCATGTTTTCCTGCCCCTTTTTGGCAGCTGATGAATGATGTTCACATCTTTTGACAGGAATGATATAAACCAATTTACATTGAAGATCTCTGAAAAGTTGCTGTCAAGAAACAACAAACACGCATCAGAAATCTAGCAAGGATAACTAAAAGCAGAAGTTGCTTTTATTTTATAAAATGTTATCAACCTGGAATCCTTCCAAAAGGACTTTTGATCAAGCTTAGGAACAATGAGGGTGGCATTTAATATGCGTGCTGCAACAACTGCATCTGTTATCTGCCAGCAGGAGCTTTAGTCAGCTTGAAAATAACCAGAAGAAAAGAAATCACATCAATTTTTGCACCAAAAGGATAGGCAATAACACAATTATCTTAGAGCTTTGAGAGAGGGCATTGCAAATATGGAAGGTCTACTGATACACAACTAATACGGTAATGGCCAACAGCTCCATGGCATGTGCATATTATGGCCACCCACCACACATCAAATTC